CCCAACCCTGCGGACCCGGGGGCGGGGCCTCCGGGCCAGGCCCGCCCCCTTCGCCAGTCCGTCATCCCATTGGCCCACCGCTGCTGTCCGTTTCCTGGGAGAGGCTGAGGCCTCATTGGGTGGCTCCCGAAGGTGAGGCAGACCGTGCGCTCGGACTGTGGGAGCCGGCTGCGGAGCCTGCTGTCTTTGTCTGCACGCCTTGGTCCTACGGGCTGCACCAGTTCCAGGTTCAGGTGGCCAAAGTCTTGGAGCTGCTTCTGCCCTGGTCGGCCCTGGGGACCAGCTTTCGTCCTCTCCCGCCTCCACGCACACACTCACGCCCCGGAACCTTATGGCTCGCGATGGAAGGACTCTTCGGATCGCGTTGCTGGCCTTGCGGAAGACTGCATACAGCTCTGTGAGAAGTTGTTAGAATTTCGAAAGGGAGGTCACCTAGTGGGGCTACCGCAGGCTGGGGAAGTCGTGCGGAACCAACTGGTATGCGCTTGCCTTGTGGAGTTGGCTGTATCTAGGACCCTGGTGACGGCTATGTAGATCACACCAAGGGCCAAAGCAGAGTCTTGGGCAAGGGCCGACCTTTTGTTACTCATCTTACGTGCTTTCAAGCTTCCCTATTTCAAAACAAGCCAGTACTGAGAAATCCGGCCCGGTATCTTCTAAACCGTATTACCTTTTCCAAGGCAGGAATAGATGTGATTTATTTAGCAAGAGTTAGTTCTTCACTGTGTGTGTGTTTGTGTTTTTGAGACAAAGTCTCACTATGTAGGCCAGGCTGGCCTCACACTCACCATCTTGCTGCCTCATCTGCCTGAGTACTGTGATTGCATGCATGTGCCACCATGCCCAGCCAGACTATTACTTTGTTTTAATGTTAGTTTGAGGTTTATTATTAGGCAAACTGGAGCAATTTGGAAAAATAGCCAGACAGCTTACATGACCTTGGGCAATTGTTAAACACTGCTGCGTTCTCACCCCTCAAGTGAGGAGCGGAGGGATAGGCCTCCTGTGTTTTAAGATGGTCATCAGGTGATTTTGCTGGTGACTGTGGGTGAGAAGTTTCTATACTCAGATAAGCTTCTCCCCTGACGCAACAATCCAAATCAGACCAAATCAAACCGAATTAGAAAAATTTAATTCTAAATTTTAGGTTTAAAGGATGCAAACGTTCCCGGATGATTTTCCAGCCCCCCAGAGAGAATATAGAAAAGAGAAGACCGAAAACCACGTGTTTGTTTTCTAGGGGCAGTTCGAGATGCAGCAGTTTTGGAGAGAGATGGGGGAGGGGTCTTAGGTGGAGGGTCCACCCAAACATTACCGACTCTTTGAGTAGGGGGGTGGGGACAGGAACTGGAGAGAAGCTTCCACCAGACTAGTGACTACACTGTAAATATACGCACTGCACATTTAAGGTCTTAGGAAAAGGTGAGATGGTACTGTTCAAAACAGCATCCAGGAGGTCCCAAAGATGGAGTCCCAGAAGGAAATTCCCTAACATGTTGAAGTTGATACTAAAGGGGGGGTCAATAAACTGGAAAAGATGTGGATGAGCCTGGGTAGATTTTCTAATGTTAAGATGAAACCACTCCACCTGAAAAAAAAGGGGGGGGATAGAAAAATATTAATTTTTTTTCCCATGTGTGTGAAAATGGAGCTTTACAAAGTCGATGAAAGAACAGAAAGAATGACTTAGAGGGACTGGAGAGATGGCTCGGTGGTCAAGAGCGTTGGCTGCTCTTTCCATAGACCCAGGTTGCATCCCCATCACTCACATGACAGCGCAGAAACATCTGCAACTCCAGCATCAGGGGAACTGACACACTCTGCTGGTCTCTGTGGGCACCAGGAATGCACATGGAGTATGTGCATACGCACCTACGGACAACACACACCCATAGAACTCTTGTTTGGTTTTGGTTTTCAAGACAGTGTTTTCTTGTGTGGCTTTGGCCACCGTGGAACTCACTTTGTAGTCTGACCTCAAACTCATAGAGGTCTGTCTACCTTTGCTGCCTCCTTAGTGCTGGGATTAAAGACATGCACCTCCACCCCTGTCGTTTTTTTTTTTTTCAAAGAATATTTTTAAAAAGAAAGAAACACAAGAAAGAAAAATGTTAGCTGTGGGTCTTCAAGTAGTAGGATTGTGAGTAATTGGGACTTTTAATTTCATTTTGTCCCTCTAATTATGCATGCTCTTTTCCAAGAAAGCAGATGAGAACAATCCTTGCTCCCTGCACAATTTACATATTTAATGCTGCAGCATGTGCTTAAGATCCTGTGAAGAGCCTCTCACCAAACATTCCAACAAGTCACCCTGTAAATATTTGTTGAATGGATAAGTGCTAGGAATTCAAACCAGGGGAGATGCTTCTGACCAGAGTTGCCTGGCGGAGATTAATGGTAGGAGCAGAAACAGAACTGGTCCCGGAGAGGTGTAGGGTGGAGCAGGAGAGGGGGAAGGGATGGAGAGAGGTGGAAACCGTGGGACAGGGAGCCCATGGTGATGGTATGAAAGGATAAGAAAGAACGCTCGAAACCTATTGAGACAGGATTGCAGAGGGCTTTGTCATTATTTGATTCACATTAATAATTATTTAATTGATCATTTGAAATTATTTAATGACGAAGGTGTTTGCCATCAGGGACAGGAACCGGTCTGACTTGTTCCTTACAGCTTTTCTGGCATCTCAGAATACCTGGTTCACAGCTAGTGAACGCAGGCAGTCACACCTGATGGCTGACTTGGCTACAAGCCTAGGAAGTCTGGGTTTTGTTTAGCAGAGCAGGGTTATCACAGGGTCAAGGAAATGGTCCAATGGGTAGGAATGCTTGCTCCACAAACAATCCCTTGCGAAAAAGCTAGATTTGGCTGTGTGTGTCCAAAACCCCAGCATTGAAGAACAGACTGGCAAATGGCGGAGCTCGTGGGCTGGCCAACCTTCCTGAACCACTGGGAAGTTTAGAGCAAGTCTTTGGGGTAAAATGACAGATTATTGGCACCCTTAGGTTCCTCAGCCTGAAATTGAAAAGCAACCTTTTCTCCACCACACTGGAAAGAATAGAACCAAGCAGGAGAAGACAAGTGTCACTCAGTGACACACTCAGCACTGGGCAGATCGGATCGTGGGATATCCTGACTATATCCTGAAAAGCATCTGACTTTGTACAAGACACAATTTATTGTTGTTTTATTAATTACATAATTATACATGTCTTTTATTATACTTTCACACTTGTCTATTTTTTTCATCTTCCATCCCCCATTACTCTCTCTTATCCCCTTCCCACCACTCCTGTCTTCGTCTACATTCATGTTTGTGAGTTGTGTGTGTGTGTGTGTGTGTGTGTGTGTGATGTCTGTGAGTGTGTGTGTCGCGGGGGGTCTCACTGAACCTCATTAGAATTGCTTACGGGATCATGGGCACCTTTCTCCTGGCTACCTCACTGAAGAAAATGGCAAGACAAATTTTTGAAGCTCTTTCCTCATTTATGTAGTAACAGAACATGCTTTTTATGGATGTTGTAGGGTTAAACAAGACATGATGCACAAAGCATGCTATTTAGCACCCAGTGCTCATATTTCTTTTCCTCGGTTTCCACCATCAGAAGCACCTTTAGCAGCACCTTAGAATGTAGTGGGTCTTGACTGGAGCTGACCTAGAGTCAGTCTCAAAAAGATTACAATTAAAAAATAAGGAAGGCAGACATACACCAATGTACCAATAAATAAATAAATCTTTAAAAAGAATAAGGAAGGTAGGAAAAAAGAAAGAGATGGAGAGAGTGAGGGAGGAAAGGGGGACCCATAAGAGAATGAGGCCTTGAATTTGAATTCTGATTGATGCTTGTTGGCACGTTAAACCACTGTATCCCAGATCCCTCGTGTGAAAAATCAAGGCTAGTAACAAGATACCTCTGGCCTCCCAGACTGAGTAAGGGACATTTATACTTTGCACAGAGTCTAGAACCAGTGAATTATCACCCTTCATCCTAAGATTCAGCTTAGCAAGTGAATGCCACCTCCCCTTAGTTCTTTTAGGAAACATCTTATTTTAATTTATATTGGCATATATTCATTGCTCATAGTGATGGGCTTCATAGACGTCTGTATTCAAGTGTAACGTCTACTTTTAACCATATCCATCCCCACCCTCTCTTCTCTTCAGTCTTCCCTCCTCTCTAGTTTTCCTCCCCCATGACCCTTCTGCCTTCATGTCATATGTGTTTAAATGTATATGTTACCACACATAACTTTATGACATAGCTATATAAAATGTAATCTCCACAAATTAAAAAAAAAAAAACTACATGTCTATATTTGCCTAAGCTTTCCAGCAAATGATGTAAATTTTTTAGAGGTATTTACTAGTGTGTGTGTGTGTGTGTGTGTGTGTTGTGTGTGTGTGTGTGTGTGTGTGTACATGTGGAGGTCAGAGGACAATTTCATGAAACCTGTTTTCTCTTCCACCTTTATGTGGGTTTAGATTTGCATAACAAATGCCTTTGCCTACTGAACCATCTCACCAGCCCTGAAAATGACCTAATTTTGTTTATGGTCAAATTTAACTCTGTTGTATGCGTAGTCCACACTTTGTCC